CTTCTCCTGGCCCACCCCGGGGTCCGGGGTCACCCCGACTTCTCCTGGCCCACCCCGGGGTCGGGGGTCACCCCGACTTCTCCTGGCCCACCCCGTAAGGACCACACCTCTGGCCAACCCGGGCCGGGTGGGTGCTGGGCCGAGGGGCGGCCAAGGAGACCCCGCCTGGGTCGGGCTCCTTTTGGGGGGCCCCCGGGCCTGGCTTCCTTCGACGGCAGCCTCAGGTCTGGGGAGCAAATGGGAGGCGCAGGTGATGGAGGAGCCGTGCCCAGGCCGCGGGGCCGGGGCGCAGTTCGCATCCCCCATCCATCCACCCATCCATCCCTCCATCCATCCACCCATCCGTTCATTCACTCATTCATCCATCCGTCCGTTCATTCACTCATTCATCCCTCCATTCGTTCATTCACTCATTCATCCATCCCTCCCTCCCTCCATCCATCCGTTCATTCACTCATTCATCCATCCCTCCATCCGTTCATTCACTCATCCATCCATCCCTCCCTCCCTCCATCCATCCGTTCATTCACTCATCCATTCATCCGTTCATTCATTCACCCATCCATTCCTCCCTCCCTCCATCCATCCGTTCATTCACTCATTCATCCATCCATCCATCCCTCCCTCCCTCCATCCGTTCATTCACTCATTCATCCCTCCCTCCATCCATCCGTTCACTCACTCATTCATCCATCCATCCATTCACTCACTCATCCGTGCCAGCCCCGGGCGGGTGAACCCAGGGCCAGTGGCAATTCACTGATTATTATTTATAGAAAGACACACCCCTCGGTGCCAGGCCTCGGGCCTGAAGGCAGGCGCGCTGCCACTTGCGCCTGGCAGCCACCTCCGGTTCCTGGTGGAGATCGGAGTCTCGGGGCCTTTCCTGCCCGGGCTGGCCTCGAACCGCGATCCTCAGCTCAGGCCTGAGCACCGGCGCCCAGGCAGGCCTGTTTTGGGAACCCCCAGCTCTCCACCGTGGGGCTTCCCCTCACTTCCTGAAACCTCACCCGAGCCCACATCCAGGACGCCGGGCGCCAATCCGCCAAGGCCCGGCCGCGCCGCTCTCCCTTATAAACACCGGGACACACGGCCTGCGCCAATCAGAGGAGCGCCGCCGCTAAGCACCGCCCACCCCGGAGCCAGGCGCTCCAATGGGGAGCGGGGACGCCGCTCGCCCTTATTTGCATACGAGCGAATACAAAGACCCCAGGGTACGGCGGGTGCGCGCGCAGCTCTCTTCGTGGACGCCTTGGGGGGTGGGGGCCCTGAAAAGGGCCTTTTGGGGGGGGGTGTGGCGGGGGCGCGCTCAGCCCCCAAAGCCGTAGAGCGTGCGGCCCTGGCGCTTGAGCGCGTAGACCACGTCCATGGCCGTGACGGTCTTGCGCTTGGCGTGCTCGGTGTAGGTGACGGCGTCCCGGATCACGTTCTCCAGGAACACCTTGAGGACGCCCCGGGTCTCCTCGTAGATGAGCCCCGAGATGCGCTTGACGCCGCCGCGCCGGGCCAGGCGCCGGATGGCGGGCTTCGTGATGCCCTGGATGTTGTCGCGCAGGACCTTGCGGTGCCGCTTGGCGCCGCCCTTGCCGAGCCCTTTGCCGCCCTTGCCTCGACCCGACATCTTCGCACGAGAGCCGCCGACGGTGCTCGGCCGCCACTGGCCGCCCGGCTTATATGCCCCGAGAGCGGACCTGTTTGAAAACCGCGCGGGTGGGCGGGGCCTTAAGCCACGCCCCCAGAGTCTGCTCTCCCAATGCAGGAAGCCCATCTGTCCGCACCGCCAGCCTGGGCTAGGGTTTTTATGTTTGTTTGTTTGTTTTTGGTGTTATTGGATAAAATAATTTTATTTTTTCTTTTGAACACATGTTTTTCTGGTCTCTGTTTGTACTTTGTATAGGTATCTTGAAGTAGTTGCAGTGTATGGGTACAATGCATCTTGATTAATGTCACCCCTTTCCGCCACCCAGCCTTCCCTCACTTTTAATTTCCTAGGCTCTACATTGATTTTGTTTTTTATTTAGCCATTTTACACAGCTGTTTATGTACGCATGGCATTGCATCTTAGTGTGTAGTAACCCCTCCACATTTCCACTTCCCCAACGGCCCTCTCCACCCCTTGCTTTTCTTCATTGTGTGGTCTACAGTGAATTGTTTTTGTTTTGTTTTGGCCATAATTTGGTAACTGAAAGTTTATGCATCAGTGAGGTTTTTATGGCGCTCTTTCTCATCACTGGAGTTGAAAGCTAGTTCAGAGTCTGTGCTGGTTTGTTTTTAACCTGACTGGCTTTATCACTGACGTCTTGGGGAATTCTCTCTCTAGCAATTCCTTTTTGATCCTTAGTCTGGAAGATAGTCCTTCCCTACAGGAACTCTTGACAGTAAAAATAAAAAAATCCAATTTTGAAATTTGTTTAACTTAGGCCGATTTTAATCTTTGCCCGAAGCATTTTTTTTCTCTCCCACCCACCAAGCCGGGTACTGGTGGGGCTCAGCCCTGTAATCCTAGCTCTGACGGAGGCTGAGGTTGGAGGATAGAAGGGAAAATTCTGGAGAATGAAGCGGCCAAAAGGCCAAAGTAGAACTGTGGCTCTAGGGTAGATCACCAGCCTTGAGTAGGAAAGCCAAGTAAGAATGTGGGGTATTGAGCTCAAGCCCCAGTACCACCATTACAAAAATACGTAAATAACAACTAAGTGTCTGAGCTCCTGTCACTTAGCTGTGGAGTCGAGAAATGAGGAAGCAAAGGAAAACTAGGAGACAATTTCTGATCTAATAAAGCATCTTATTTCCGGGCCCGGGAAGGGGCTGCAGAACACCCATTGCTTCCTCCCATGAAGTCCCTGGGTTCATCGGAGAGGCCTGGGAGCTTTTCAAGGCTGATTGGTGCTCTACCACTCCAGCCACAGCTCCACTACTGGCTCTCCGCCGGCTAATTGTTGATGAGAGGCCCACAGACTTTTTCTGCCCCCGGCTGGCTTCGAACCAACGTCCTCAGGTCTTCAAGATCACTGCCCAACACGGAAACTTGCACCTTCCCTGTGACCAGCAGGCCGGTTATTTATAGAGGGCGTTATGCAAATGAGGAGTCGGGATACCCACTCTTGATTGGATATCGTTCTGGAAGGCGGGCCATAATCCAGCGAGCTCATTGGGGGCGGGTCCTGCCTGTCGCGCGGTTTGGACGTGCGGCGCCCAATGGGAAGGCGCGGCGGTTTGTGCGGAAGGAGGCGCTGCGGGCCGCTCGGCTCTGCTCCCCGCCCGCCTGCCGGAAGTTGGGGTTCGCCCACTTGGGGGAGCAGTGAAGCGAAGGAACTTAAGTTCTGCGGGGTTTGGGGCCGCGGAGCCCTGGGCCTCCCCCGACCGCGAAGGCGCCACGCGTGGGCTCCTGCGTCCTCCCAACCCGACACCCAGGCTCCGCCTCGGCCCCGGGGATTTTAGGGTCCCCCCCAAACTGCCACCCTGCACCACCCCGCCTTTAGTTCCGCCTGGGGTCCGCGCACCCACAGCGCTTGTTTGCACACCTCCCTCCCAGCCTGCCTCCGCTGGGGCGGGCGCGGGCTCCCCGCAGGGTCGGCGGACACGGCTGCGGAGAGGTTCGGTCCCCAGCCCCGCGCGGGACGCGGTGTGGACTGGGCGGCGGGCTGTGGGCGCCGCGGGGAGGCGTGGCGGGGGCGTGGCCACGAGGAGCGCTCGAGGAGGCGTGGCCAGGGGCGTGGCATGGATAGGAGGCGTTGCCAAACGCAGAGCGCTCTAGGAGGCGTGGCCAGGGGCGTGGCATGGTTAGGGGCGTGGTTAGGGGCGTGGCCACGAGGAGCACTCGTGTAGGGCATGGCATGATGGGAAGGTCTGGATAGGAGTAGAGGACTCTAGGAGGCGTGGCCAGGGGCGTGGCATGGTGAGGTGTGGCTAGGAGCAGAGCGCTCTAGGAGGCGTGGCCAGGGGCGTGGCATGGTGAGGTGTGGCTAGGAGCAGAGGGCTCTAGGGGGTGTGGCCAGGGGCGTGGCATGGCGGGGAGGTATGGCTAGGAGCAGAGCGCTCTAGGAGGTGTGGTCAGGGGCGTGGCCAGGCGGGGAGGTGTGGCTAGGAGCAGAGCGCTCTAGGAGGCGTGGTCAGGGGCGTGGCATGGCAGGGAGGTGTGGCTAGGAGCAGAGCGCTCTAGGAGGCGTGGCCAGGGGCGTGCCAGGAGGCGTGGCCAGGGCGGGAGGCCAGGATGGCCAGAGGAGGAAGGACACAAGGCCTGGTTCCCCATCACCACACAGAGCTCTTCCGACGCCCCGGCCCACGTGACCCCACGTGAGTGTGCGTGTGCCGTGGGTGTGCGCATGCGCCCGTGCCGATCGGGCCGCAGTCGGGGCGCGCTGGGCCCGGCCAGCTCGGGGGGGGGGG